AGAGAGAGAGAGAGAGAGAGAGAGAGAGAGAGAGAGAAGAGGCAGCTGAGAGAGACAGTAGAGAGAGAAGAGACAGCAGAGAGAGGCAGGGGAGGGAGAGAGAGCGAGGCAGGGGAGAGAGCACGGAGAGAGAGAGAGAGAGAGCCAGAGGAGAGAGAAGAGACAGCAGAGAGAGAGAAGAGACAGCAGAGAGAGAGAGAGAGAGAGAGAGAAGAGACAGCAGCGAGAGAGAAGAGACAGCAGCGAGAGAGAGAAGAGACAGCAGAGAGAGAGAGACATGGGAGAGCAAGGAGAGCGCGAAGAGAGAAGAGACAGCCAGAGAAAGAGAGAGAGACAGGGGAGAGAGCGAGGAGTTAATGTGCTTGTTTTTTAAATAAAGATCTTTTCGCTGGTAGATCTCATCATTTGAAAAGTAGATCGTAAGACAAAAAGTTTTGGGCACCCCTGTTCTAGTGCTTTATGGAAGTCAAAAAGCAGATACAAGCCCTATAGACATCAATGTCCAAGCCAACCTCAGAAAATGTGTTATTCTGTGTGTCTTCCTATGTAAACTTGACTGAACCAATCAGGAACCGAGGAAGCCCTTTGAATACGTTTTGAAACGCCTTCTACATTATAGAACAAATGAACTTGAATGTGACTGATACTCAATGTATACTGATCTGGACAAATGAGAACCCCCAGGCATAAGAGAGGAGACCGGTTTTCTTAAATGTTGCACCCCCTAGTAATTATCATTCAAATATTATATAAATAGACCCATAATATCTTTAACAATAGATTAAGGAGATCAAGCAAAACATTTGGTAAATAAATTCATTTACACAGAAAACAAATTTAAGATAGTAAAGCCATAAATATACACTATATTACCAAAAGTATTGGGACACCCCTCCAAATAATTGGATTCCATGAAATGTCCTTGCTACTAAATATTCCGCGGTCACCTGTTACTGGTATTATAACAAAGTGGAAGCAACTGGGAACAACAGCAACTCAGCCACGAAGTGGTAGGCCACGTAAAATGACAGAGCGGGGTCAGCGCATGCTGAAGCGCACAGAAGTCGCCAACTGTCTGCAGAGTCAATAGCTACAGACCTCCAAACTTGGTGTGGCCTTCAGATTGGCACAACAACAGTGCGTAGAGAGCTTCATGGAATGGGTTTCCATGGCCGAGCAGCTGCATCCAAGCCTTACATCACCAAGTGCAATGCAAAGCGTGGGATGCCGTGGTGTAAAGCACACCGCCACTGGACTCTAGAGAAGTGGAGATCCGATGGACTTGTCTGGGTTTGTCGGTTGCCAGGAGAACGGTACTTGCCTGACTGCATTGTGCCAAGTGTAAAGTTTGGTGGAGGGGGGATTATGGTGTGGGGTCGTTTTTCAGGGGTTGGGCTTGGCCCATTAGTTCCAGTGAAGGGAACTCTTAAGGCATCAGCATACCAAGACATTTTGGACAATTTCATGCGCCCAACTTTGTGGGAACAGTTTGGGGATGGCCCCTTCCTGTTCCAACATGACTGCGCACCAGTGCACAAAGCAAGGTCCATAAAGACATGGATGGGGGAGTTTGGGGTGGAGGAACTTGAGTGGTCTACACAGAGTCCTGACCTCAACCCGATAGAACACCTTTGGGATGAATTAGAGTGGAGACTGTGAGCCCGGCCTTCTTTTCCAACATCAGTACCTGACCTCACAAATGGTCCAACATTCCCATAGACACACTACTAAACCTTGTGGAAACCTTCCCAGAAGAGTTGAAGCTGATATAGCGGCAAAGGGCGGAGCCAACTCAATACTGAACCCTACGGACTAAGACTGGGATGCCATTAAAGTTCATGTGCGTGTAAAGGTCGGCGTCCCAATACTTTTGGTAATATAGTGTATATTTCAGGTATATGATAATAAAACCTTATAAAGCATTGTTACTACGCATAAAAAGCAACATTAGAAAACAAGCAAATTATTTTGAAGACAATATGGCATTCTAATATGTTATCATGCAGAACAATAAAATAGAAAGCGTATTTTTAGTTTTTTTGCATTCACTAGTGGGCAACAAATAAAAAAATCTCATCTGTGCATGCTGGGGGAGGAAAGTCTTCAGGGGACAAAAAAAATAAAAATAAAATAAACAAAATCTTAAAAAAAAAAAACATATGTAAAATCGGGGATAAAAATATAAACAAAATGTAAATGTTGTAGTGACCATTCCTGGGAACTTACTCAGAGTCTTTGTTCCATAACCGTCGTCACCTAATCCGGGGAAGTCCTGCCCAGCAGTACCCAGAGAGTGAGCAATGAGAGAGGAAGAGGGGGCGCAGAAGAGGAAGGAAGAAGTCAGTGGAGTTGAAATGGATACTACCATGACAGACCATGCAGAATAAAAACCTGGATCCATATATATTCAATTTTCCCCAACTCTATATTTATCCCGGTAACATGTATTAAGAATTAAGAATTTTTGACAAACAATGCAGAAATAGAGGCGGTAGCAATGCATTTGTTGAACCATCAGCAGCAATGACCTTGAAGAAGGATGACTCTGAAATTCAAGCATTGAAGACAAATGATTTAGAGACTGCTTGACACAGCACAAAACCTTATACTATACTGCTGCCGTGCACCATGAAAAAGCAAGGTGGCTGATATTATGAGAGGCCCCTTTCACATGGGCTGATCGGGAAGGGATCTGTGCACAGATCTGCACCTGCAGATCGGAGCAATAGGGATCAGATGTTACCACTGAGACATCTGTGTTTGTCCAGTTTCTAAAGAATTAAAACTGCCTGACCCTATGTGGGTCTACGGGGTGTCGTTCCTCCGATCCAGAACGATCAAGTCCCGTGAAACAGAATTCGGTTCCATTTGTTTTTCTAGACCTGGCCGGAGTCGGGGATAACCGGGTGTAAATGGACACCCGTCCATTTAGACCTGGCTGAACATACACTAGCCCTGGGCATCCAATCGGGTCCACCTGAAAAATTGACAGATGGAACCCAATCGAACTGCCCGTGTGAAAAAGTGGCCTTATGTCCTTTAGATCGACAAATATTTACAAAATAAACTACAAAAACATTTTCTATTTTTTGTTTTATGAATTTACCTACACCTTGCAGACTATGAGTGGAGTTGGGTCTGATTTGCGTATATTTAGATCACAGTTTATTGTAAAAAAAAAAAAACTGAAGAGTTATTTATTTTAAGTGATTGAAATAAATATCTGTTATTTATTTTTGCACACATTGAAATTTAGAAAAAAAAAACCAGAAGAGTTATTTACAGGGGCGTCCCGAGGCCAAGTGTCACTCGGTCTAGACCGGGTCACACCCCGCCGTGTTGTCTGGTTGATGCCTGCCGGTGGCCATCTTGGTGATGGACGCCGGCAGAGAGAGGGGGGGGGATGTTCACCCAGCGGGATAAGGTATGCTGCCGGGTCCCCTCCTCTCTCCTGACACTGTTGGGCTCTTGGTCCATGACGAAGAGCCTGACTTTTTAGAGGGGGTGACATCAAAATGATGTCAGTCATTTTGGTGTCACCGGTGCAATGGTGTCACCCAGGTGCGGGCAGCATCCCCCACGTGGCGCCACTGGTTACTTATTTAAATGATTTAAATAAATATGTAATTTTTTTTTACACAAATTGAAATTTAGAAAACAATTTCAGAATGATACTATAATACTTCAAAAATATATACAATTGTGAACACAGGTTTGGTTTTGGATGTTGTTAAAGCAAAATTCTCCTAGAAACCTGGAAATGATGATGATGATCTTATTATCTACATTAAAATATCCCAGATATGAATAATTTAAAATATTTTACTATAATTCTGTTGCATGTTCTTAAAGGAGAACTATTGGGTAAGTGTTTTTCTCCATAGTTCTCCTAAGGGTCACGGGAGGACATATACTAGCGTCCTCCCGTGACCCAAAGCTCAGTATATAGGGAGCTACAGCTCGCGGTATACTGAGAAGCCGCACCCGGGACGGATCCCGACATTACTGTTGAGATCCACCCAGCTGCGTGAGTGACAGCTGGCTCTACCTATCTAGAGGCAGAGCCAGCTGTACCCGCCCCCTATCCCGTCCGTTCCACCAGTCAGCGCTGGAGGATCGGAGCGGGGAGGGGGGGAATCCCTGCAGGGAGCCGTGAGTGACAGTCACCGCTCTCTGCAGGGACAGGATCAAGAAGTGAGCGAGCAATGGCATGTGTTCGCTCACTTCCCGATCTATTGAGCCGACCTGTGACAGTTTCATTGTCAAACGTCGGCTCGAACTATGAGGATGAGTAATTTTCCCTCACCTCATAGTTCTCCTTAAAGCAAGGATGGCTTATTAATGCTAGATTTTCCAGCGGGCAATCATTTAAATATTACAAATCAAACTAAAAATAATTCCCCGTGCTAAAATAATGTAGATAAGATTAGATTACAATTTGCTCTGCCACGATTTTGTGCCAACAGCTAAGTCTCCAAGCTAAGACGTCCATTTGCTATACAACACAATATTTTTTTTTGTGGGTTCTTCCAAGGTCAAAAGCTTCCTGGATTAAAGCGTAAAAACACAATGGAGGCAGCCATTTTGCTAGTGTAACCCATGCAACCTATCAATTCACTGGGCAGGTGACACCACTCTGTGTTGTAATGGGCTCAGGGTGAATTGATGGGCTGAAGATCGGATCAGTTCACAAAATGGCCGAATTTGTTTTTCGGAGATCATTTTATTGGTTATTCTTACGCAGAATCTTTTTTTTAGAAAGCAGAATAGCCGGTGGATCCAGGATGTATTCCTGCACTGGTCACAGTAGCAATGCCTTGCCTACCTACCAGTACTGTATGCCTAGATGTGTGGAAGGGGTGAGAGGGAGGGTACGTGTCATGCGTGTCACCCATTACTATTGTGCCACACGTGACTTCATCTCCAAGGTTCTACTTACGTTCAGGGTCACTTGTTTCTTGATCACTCTCCTCCTTGTTCTTGTAGAATGGGAATTTTCGTGAAAAGATGAAGTTCTTTTTACTCTTGTCATTGAATGACTGTGAAGGAGAGAAGGCATGGGGGCAAAAACAGGGGCGTCTAATTCTTGTCACACTCATGCTGACAAAACTAGTCTGTAAATGTGGATAGAACTACAGTGACCAAATCATCTTCTGGGGGGAAAAAATTTCAGAAGCCCATATTGTTTTTTTTTTTTTTCTTTAAAACTATCATTTTTGGGTCGGAATTTTCATTGTATAAAGGATTAGTGGCTGGTAACTTTTTAATGTTTTTTCATATTATCTCTTTACTATTATTTTTTTTTATCATGACCATCAAAATGTGGGGGGCAAGAAAACATTGAATATTATAACCAAAGAAACCGACAAATTTGGATCATAGGTATGGAAAGTGAAAAATAACTAGACAATTTTCGCAGCAATGCCAAAATTTAAACCTTTCACTCAAAATATGCTCTGCTTTCTTTTCATCTGAAATGAATCACGTCTAAAAAAAGCTTTATTTACAGTTATGGATTTGTTTATAAGCATTTCCATTTTGAATATTTTCAGTCCAATGCTTCTTATTTTCTTCAAAAAAAAAAAAATATATACAGCTAAATAAATATACTAAAATTGAATGAAGGGGCCACCATTGACACACTTTGTAATCTACCAGCATCAGCTTTGAGAGCTACCCTGTTTCCTTGAAAATAAGACCTACCCCGAAAATAAGGCCTGGTACTTTTTTTGGGAATTGCTAAAATATAAGACCTAGTTGTGACCATTTCCAGGGCCGGTGGTGGCATAAGGGGGTACTTGGTGAGGCAGGAGAGAATCAGCGGTGCCAACGAAGCCAGCACTAGAGGAAGCGAGGCGGCACCGGAGGGAGCAGAGCCGCATAGGCTGATGCCTCCTCTATAGCACCGGCTGCTGTCACAGGCGGAGTGATGCCAAATGCACTCCGCCTGTGAGATTTTGAATGCCAGCTGAATACAGTAAGAAATAATTACTTATTTTGTTAGTAAATTAACTTTATAAAAAAAAAATTAAGATTTTAAAGCATTATAATAATTCTCACTTTCTTTGAAAAAATATTTCTTCCCGTCACTGAAGTTATGAACCACTTTTACATTTCAAGCATATTTGATCTTTCAAAAAAAATGTAAATAATAATTAAAAAAAAAAACTAAAAACAAAGAAATTCATGGATGCTAGTTTGCCCTTTCACCACTGAGACATTACATAAAATTATTATGAACACAAAAATGTCTTTGACTTTATCAAAGATGCTTTAGACAAGCGTTGAGTGACACGCACTATTATTGCTGTGTTGTTCATTGTCTAATAATAACACAATGTGACTCCTGTATCTATTTTTGTGCTTTCAAGGCATCGACTGTTTGGGCTCGATCTAGTGATTGCATCTACAATGGTAAATATTAGCATTCATAAATACAATTTTGTGGAGCTCTCTGCATTTTTCTGATCAGCATAAGACTGGCTGCAGCTGGTGCCACTTGCAGTAGATGCCAAACTCTAGGGGTAATTTACTTAAAGAGACACAGTCATTTTGTCCATTTAGGGCACAGTGACTGTGTAAATGCCCTTTAACCTGACCTTGCTATAGCTCCATCACTGCCCTCGACTGGTACAAAATCTCAAGTGCTTCGTAATATGGGGGAGCATGTGACCTCCTCCAAAATATCAAGTGCTTCGTAGTATGGGGGAGAATGTGACCTCCTCCATATCTCAAGTGCTTTGTGGTATGGGGGAGAATGTGACCACCTCCAAAATCTCAAGTGCTTCGTAATATGGGGGCATGTGACCTCCTCCGAAATGTCAAGTGCTTCGTAGTATGGGGGAGAATGTGACCCCTCCAAAATCTCAAGAGCTTCATAGTATGGGGGAGAATGTGACCTCCTCCATATCTCAAGTGCCTTGTGGTATGGGGGAGAATGTGACCTCCTCCAAAATTTCAAGTGCTTCGTAGTATGGGGGAGAAAGTGACCCCTCCAAAATCTCAAGTGCTTCGTAATATGGGGGAGTGTGACCTCCTCCAAATTTCAGGTGCCTCGTAGCATGGGGGGAGCATGTGACCTCCTCCAATGTGACAGTGCTCAGGACTAGCCTAATAACGGAGGGGGTGATGACACCTCTCCCCTTAGCCTCTGACCTCAGCCAATAAAGGCAATTTTAGTGCGTTGAGTGTTATTTTCTAGCTTAGCTTAGGGTTTTAACTCAGGAAGTGGGTAAAGGTAAAATATTTATTCTAATGAAGGACTTTCTGTTTATTTTTAAGGGAAACTATAATGGTTTTGGTCAAATTTAATTTAAAGTGACACTAAACTCAGGAGTTAAATCTTAAAAATGCATTCAAGTACCTCAACTATTAACAAAAATGTATCTTATTTGTGTATCACTCGGCTGTAGATCCTCCAATCATCTCTGAATTGGTGCTGACAATGTCCTTCCTTCTGGAGGGGGGCTACTTTTGTTCCCCATGGTCCCCGTGTGTGTTGTAAAGTAGTCACCGCTCCAAACGCACTCCTGTGATGGACTACAATCTCAATACAAATTAGTAAACTAAACATGAGCGAGCTTGGAGTGGTGACTACTTTACAACACACGCAGGGACCATGGGAAACAAAAGTAGCCACCCTCCAGAAGGAAGGACAGTGTCAGCACCAATTCAGAGATGATTGGAGGATCTACAGCCGAGTGATACACACATAAGATACATTTTTGTTAATAGATAAGGGATTTGAATGCATTTTTAAGATTTAACACCTGAGTTTAGTGTCACTTTAAGAGAAATTTTTGAAATTTCCCCGGAGTTCAGCTTTAGGTGAGGAAAAACTAGATTGTGGTTGCAGAAAGCAACCATGCATTTTTATCATAACAGGGGTCATTTTTTTTTTTTTTTAAAAGGTGAACGCACTGTACCCTAAATTTTATATCAGAAATAATTTAATTTATTCTACAAATTATTCAAATTCAGCAAAAGTTAAGTTTTTCTCTAGAAATACACCTATACCAATTTTTTGGTATAGGTGTATCCCATAATCTGCTTTTGGTACTCGCCGATAATGAGTACCGATACAGGTGCTTCCACTGGCATGGAGCTGGCTTCCTGGCCAATCAGGCCAAGCTGGAAGGCTGGTCATTACTCTTCACCCAGCTTCCTGATTGCCCATGAAACCGGTTCCATGTTCCCCTACAGCACTGCTGGTCAGAGGAAATTTTCATCTGACCAGAACAATGGTCACCAAGGCAAATAAAGACAATATATAGTGAGCAAGATTTGGATATAGTGAGAAAGTATTAAAACTAGGGATGCACTGATATATCGGCCGCCGAAACATATCGGCCGAAAATGGCACTTTTGGCTAAATACATTGGCACATCCCAGGTTTATCTCCTCCCCGCTGGGCACTGCTCTGTGTCCCAGCGGGGAGGAGAGAAAGTGACAGCCGGCGAGCGCTGCGTGAGGAGAGCGCTGTGAGCGGCCAGTGTCTCTCCTCCCACACCGCTAGGCCGCCTATCACAGTGCGGCAGAGCGGTGTGTGGGCGGAGACAGCTCGCGCTGTCACAGGAGGCTGGGCTCTCCCTGCACCGCTCACTCAGCCTCCTGTGACAGCGTGTGTCAGAGAGGAGAGCGAGAGCAAACACTCAGCGATTGCTGAGTGTTTGTAGATAATTGAGGATATGGTATGTCTATATCCTCAATTATGAATGAATGGGAGTGATCTACATCACTTCCTGTCCATTCGTGATTGAGGATATAGTAAACACACTCTGTCCTCATGTTATAAATGAACAGGGACACTTTTTGTTCCGGTGACAACTGTCAAACACAAGATTTTCAATTGTTTTGGAGCAATTTACTCTGACTTCGTGCTGTGTCTCTCGGAAAGAAAGTGGAGGAAAATGCTATAAAAAGAAAAAAAACAATCTGACGGGTATTAAAAATTCCCTACACTATCCGAAAAAAAATTTAAGTTTTGGATCCAAATAAACTACCGTGTTTCTCCGAAAATAAGACACTGTCTTATATTTTTTTTTGGCTAAAAAAAACACACTAGGTCTTATTTTCGGGGAAACAGGGTATAATAATTCAAAGAAAGTGTACATCTTCCCCGATTTCAAAGTCTGCATGTGTCCTAGTACCAATTCATAGGATCAGAGGTGAAAGAGATGCGGGAAATAAAATGATCATTCAGCTAAAAAAAAAAAAGGAAGTATGCTATGCCTAAGAAAAACCAAACGCATGCCGATGAGAGCCACAGACAAAAGCATAAAGAGAAAATGAAGGATAGTGAATATGTAACGACTAAAAACAAAATGAATAAAACTCAACATAAACAATGTTGCTGCGAGCATGCACATAAATAAACACAAGCTACAATGGGATTTTAAAAAAAATGGCCGTAGTATGATCTGGCTATATGTGTTCTTCTTATAGTAAGAAAGTTTCTATAGGTCCTGGCTACAAAAATACTAACACTCCATAGCAATTCATTATTTAAAATAACACAAGGTACAAAATACAGCATGAAAAAAAATATATCAACATATCATATAATAATTATCATTAACAGAGTCTTTTTTTTTATTTTAGAAAGCATTACAATTGTTAACCAAGGTGTAGATCAGCCTTTGTGTAGATCAGCCTTAGTATAGACCAAGGTGTAGATCAGCCTTTGTGTAGATCAGCCTTAGTATAGACCACGGTGTAGATCAGCCTTAGTGTAGATCAGCCTTAGTGTAGACCAGGGTGTAGATCAGCATTAGTGTAGATCAGCCTTAATGTAGACCAAGGTGTAGATCAGCCTTTGTGTAGATCAGCCGTAGTATAGACCAAGGTGTAGATCAGCCTTAGTGTAGATCAGCCTTAGCATAGACCAAGGTGTAGATCAACCTTAGTCTAGATCAGCCTTAGTGTAGACCAAGGTATAGACCAGCCTTAGTGTAGATTGGCCTTAGTGTAGACCAAGGTGTAGATCAGCCTTAGTGTAGACCAAGGTGTAGATCAGCCTTTGTGTAGATCAGCCTTAGTATAGACCAAGGTGTAGATCAGCCTTTGTGTAGATCAGCCTTAGTGTAGACCAAGGTGTAGATCAGCCTTAGTGTAGACTAAGGTGTAGATCAGCCATAGTATAGACCTGGCCTTCTTAAACTTTCTCCACTCGTGACCCCTTTTTGGCCGAGGACATTTTTAAGGGACCCCAACGTCGGTTGGTGTCTCCTCCCTCCCCTAGCGTAAGTCAGTTTCCCCACCCCCCCAGTGTCGGTCAGTGTCTCTCTTCTTCTCCCCTAAGCCCCCCAGACACTTGCGGGACCCCATATGGGGTCGCGACCAACACTTTAAGAAGCACTGGTATAGACCAAGGTGTAGATCAGCCTTAGTGTAGATCAGCCTTAGCATTGACCAAGGTGTAGATCTACCTTAGTCTAGATCAGCCTTAGTGTAGACCAAGGTGTAGATCAGCCTTAGTGTAGATCAGCCTTAGTATAGACCAGGGTGTAGATTAGCCTTAGTGTAGATCAACCTTAGTATAAACCAAGGTGTAGATCAACCTTAGTGTAGATCAGCCTTGGTGTAGACCAAGGTGTAGATCAACCTTAGTGTAGATGAGCCTTAGTATAGACCAAGGATGGTCAAACTTTGGCTCTCCAGCTGTGGTGAAAGTCCCAAGATGCATTGCAAGATTCTGAAAACCACAAGCATAACTCCCCCAAGAGGGCCAGATGCATGATGAGATTTGCAGCTTCACCACTGCTGAAGGGCCAAAGTTTGGCTACCCCTGGTATAGACTATGGCCTACGGACAACGGACGTGCCTTTAAGTGGATGACAAGTAATTATAATTTGGACATAGCCTATTCAGAAGAAGCAAATGGAAATGTGATTTTCTTTTTTGTAATGCCTAAAAATTGTATTGTGGCCCTTAGTAAATACTAGGGATGCACCGAAATTTCGTCCGCCGCGACATTTTGGCCAAAAATTGCACTTTTGGCAAAATGCCTACAGTATCACGACGGCCGAAAATTCAGTGTATCCCTAGCTTCTCTCCTCCCCACTGGGTGCCGGTCTGTGTGCCTTCTGATGCAGTGGCCGGCTCCCAGCGTGGAGGAGAGAAGCTTTCAAGAGGCCGAGTGTGCATAGTCACCGACCGGGATCCCGAGCGGTGCGGGGCTGTAACAGCTGTCATCACTACAGGAGGCAGAGCTCTTCTCCCGCACCTCCTGGCTCTGCCTCCTGTGTCAGAATGGAGATCGGTGAGCGGAGGAGAGCACTGTGATCTGTCACAGGAGGCGAAGCTCTCCTCCTCCAGAGGTAGGCAATCTCCGGCCCTCCAGCTGTGGTGCAACTACAAATCCCATGAGGCATTGCAAGAATCTGATAGCCACCGGCATGACTCCCAGAAGCAGATGCATGGTGGGATTTGTGACTTCACTGCAGCTGTAGGGCCAGAGGTTACCTACCCCTGCTCTTAAGTATTGTCATTTGCTCCTCCCCAGGCAGCTACATAAAAGGTTATGTAAGGAGTTAAGGGGGCGGAGTGCAATAGCTGGGCCACCAAAGAGGAGAGGACTGTGACAAGCATGCTGGTGCTGTGCTAGGGAACTGACTCCTCCAGGTGAAGGAGACACATTGCAGATAAGCATTTGATTTTACCTGACAGGGTCTCTTTAATGTTCTAATGTAAAGTGAAATAATTGTGGGCGTGGTCATGCTAATTAATCGGCAGAGTTCAGACACCATTCATTAATGATTAATTGGCAATGGCATCTTGGTTTAAAAAGTGAAAGTGAATGTTTTATTCTGCTGTAAAAGACTTCGACCTTCACACGTAAAACATTTCCTTTAATACCTCTCAACGTGATAATAGAGCTACATCGGGAACGAATCACAAGCGGCTCCCAATATAAAGGGAGATTTTATGACATATTTAAGGCCTCTTTCACACGGGAAACGGTCGGCACGTACAGCTCCGTGCTGCGTGCACGGCCGTATGGGGCCGCTCCCGGGAAGGACAGGTGCTGCGTGTGATTAGTACACAGCCCCTGTCCTCCTCTATAGGAGTAGACAGCCGTACGCTCACCCCAGGTGCAAGTCCGTAGCTGGTGTCTCGGCTCGGACGCAGACAGGATCCATCATGTCAGTGTACGAGTACGGACACCCGCACGGACGTGTAGGGCGGGTGAACGTAGAGCAGCGTACAGCCGCGTACTCCCATCGAGAGGGACGGGGGCTGTGTACTCATCATACGCAGCACCTGTCCTTCCCGGGAGCGGCCCGATACGGTCGTGCACGCAGCACGGAGCTGTACATGCCGGTCGTTTCCCGTGTGAATGAGGCCTGAGGCTGAAGTCTAGGCAGACTGAAAAAGACAAAAGTCAATGCAGCTCTATCTTCATTAATACAGCACGCAGTTTATGTTTTCAAGGCAGGCAGTGTAAGTACCTGAATGATAACTTGATACTAGCCTATGGCAATCTATGTACAACAGCGCTTAGAATGCAAGAGAGAAACAGCACGTGGAGCCAGTTTTGTTTTGGTGCAAGGAAGAAGCAGATAGGAGAACAGAGTAGAGTGATAGACATGAGTTGATCAGTCAGCTGCTTCTCCTTTCACTGTCCAGTATTAAGGTGCCCACACACCTTGCGATAATCGTACGATAATCGCGGGAAATCCCACGATCGTACGATTATCGTAAGGTGTGTGGAAGCCTGCGACCTCTACTACTGTAAGGTCGCACGACTTTTAACTTACGAACATGTTCGGAAACCCGCCGAGCATCGTACGATGTTCGGCGGGTGTGTAGCATGTTTGTACGATAAAAGCCGGACGGTCGGTGCAAGCGCACACTGCCCATTTGGCATTGCGGTCATCGGAAGCCCGCCCCTCAGGGGGGCGCGGCTTGCGATCATTGCAAGTACGATCTGCCTTGCCAAGATAGGCAGATCGTACTTTTTTTTAAGTACCTTACAACCATCGCAAGACAAAAGTCTTGCGATGGTTGTAAGGTGTGTGCCCAGCCTTCGGCTGGGGGAAGGACATGACCCGTGAGTGTTAATTAACTGGCAGAGATGCGAGAATCGCAGGACTGGATGGACAGAAATACAAAGCATTTAGCTGTTTGCTTTAAGGAGCAAGTGATCTGTTATACATTGGGGATTGTGTAGGGGAGCAGCAGGAGAAAGAGACAAGTGGTCACCTCTAAAGCCCTGTTCACACTTTGCGATGCGTAAATGCGCGTGCGGCTGCATTTCTGCTGCCATTGCTACGCATCAGCCCATTCCTATCAATGGACCGCCGCACGTGGGACAAACGCGGCAAAGAAGCTCGTGCAGCATTTGCAGCTGTGAGCTTCCTGCGTGATTGGCCATGCATTTGTGTGTGTTTGTCGCGTGTCCGCGCGTCGGTAAAAACGTGGCTTTTACCAGCTGCGTTTGGGGTGTCAATAAAAAGTAATGGCACCGCAAGTACGTTGCACGTTTTTGATACTTTGTGTGACTGTGCAAATGTGCATGCATGACACACTTTTGGCGCACGTTCATACAATGATAAAGTGTGAATGGGGACTAATAGATCCCTAATGTCTCCTTAAAGAGGACCTGTCACCACTCAAGTGCTATTATATAGGGGGCTTGTGAACAAGTACACACACATACTAATACAAACACGCATCGGGTGTGTCTATGTACGAAAACGATGACTGCGCCACACGTTAGGTATTCCCACGCACGCTGGAGTGAAAGCAATAATTCTAGGGAGGAAACCGGAGTACTTGGAGGAAACCCACACAAGCACGGGGAGAACATGCAAAGTACTTGCAGATAGTGTCTTGACCAGGATTTTGTATGGGGCCCTGTGATTTCTAGTTACGCCCCTTGCAGAGCCCACCTGAGAACCCACACAGCCCACCTGACAGAGACCCTGCAGAGCCCACCATAGACTCTCTGGTCACACCACTGCACACCTCTCACCTGTCAGCACCAATCCTCTGTCCGCTTCCGCCGTGCCCCACCGCCTCCTCCTCCGGGCCTGGCCTCCTCCTACGCGCCCCGCCTTCTCCTCCGCTGCCAACGCCGTGGTCCTGCCTCCTCCGCAGCTGCAGGCTGTCACTGACTCAGCAACGGCTGTGAGGAGGAACGTGCCGCTGCACAGATCACTGACAGAGGGTGGGAAATGAGGCAGCTACTGGTAAATGTACAAAATGAAGATAGATACCAATAAAATTACATGAATATTTATTTAAAAGAAAAACAATAACCTAGCTCTGTAAGCTGTCTTATACCTGGGCAGGTAAATTGCGTTGATTAGAAAAATAGGTTTCCACATACACATTTGAGCCTGATCCATTATCAGACTCTTAGCCATAATGTTGAAAGATTCCAATTTCCATCTCATTTCTTCCTCTTGCCTTAGAGTTTAGCTGTGAAGTCATCACGAACCGCAAGCCCTGACCCACATTTGTGACACTGTGCCAGTGAAAGCAGCTACTGATTTATCAAAGCTATAAGTGTATAAAGGGGGCCAATTATCCCCGGAGAGCCACTTGGTTAGATTAGAAGTCACACGGTGGTTTTATGGGCTATGGTAAATGGTTTTTTTTGAGATCTGTTAATTTCAGTTCGAATGTATTCTTTTTTTTTTATTCCTCCATGAAGGGCAATGTGAACACGTGCCAAAGGCATTGCAAATGCCCGTCAACACCAGCCCTAAAAGTGATTTGTGGAGCCTGTATATTAAGAAAGTGGACGGTGTTCATCTGAATCTTTGTTATCATGTGAGCTTTATTTCACTTGCACATTTCCAATGCAAAACAAATAGAAGTAACACCCTGACTTTATATTGGGACAGGTTAGCTTAATATAACATTGTGTAGGTCTATATTTTATAACCCCTTAAGGAACAAGGCCGTTTTTTTGCAACCATGTTATAATCCACATTTTAGGCCTGATAATTACAAACATTACCGTATATATTTTCTGAAAGCCAAGACCCTGTAGAATAAAATGGTGGCAGTTTCAAATTTTTATGTTGCACGACATTAGCGCAACTTATTATCAAACCCGAAAATGTAGTGAAAAATGCACTTAAGTTAAATTAAGTGACCTAAAACACTATATAAAACCATAAAAAATAAATAAAAAAATAAATAAAAAAGTTTAGAGATACGTGTAAATATTGGCCCTAGAATTATTGCCCTCGCTCTGGCGTGCATGCCGATACCCATGTGTAGCGCAATCCTAGTTTTGGTACGTAGGCGCGCACACAACGCATGTTTATGTAACGACGCATGTGCTTGCGGTGGCCTTTACATTTTTGTAATTATTATTTTTACATTTAATGTATTAAATATTATTTTTAAAACTGTTTTTTTTGTGGTTAACTTTACTTTAATTGCTATCACATACGAGGGCTTACAAGTCCCCCATGTAATAGCATATTGGTGGTGACAGGTACTCTTTAAGGTGATACTGGGGGTCCCCAAGTAGCACCCTTACACTCTAAATAAGCTATTGAAGTGCAGACTGCACTTCAATAGCTTATAGCTGGGCTTCAGGAGCTGAGCACTGACAGCTATGGGACTGGAAGTGATGCAATACGTGTCGCTCCCGGTCCCATAGAACGGGGAGGAGAGCTCTCCTCCCCAGCTTCCCACTGACACCCAAGATGCCGGTCCTGGTCTCGTAGGAGGGGCAGCGGAGCTCGGGAAACAAGTCGGGGGTGTCAGCCCGTTTACCAGATCGTAGAAGACATCTGGCGGCAGCTGAGCCACCAGAATCACTTCTACTGTAAAGCCGGCCTCCAGCTCTACAATTATGAACAGAGTCCATCTGTTTAACCCCCTTCAGAATTAATGACGGGATTATCCCGTCATTGGTCGTGAAGGGAATAATAATGCACTACTACTGCAGCCCTATAGAAAGCTGTCCTCTGCCATAAGCACACTGGACGTCTGGATTGCTGCTCGCACACAGAGGACAGTGGCCAAGATCTCCAGCGGGCTGGCGCCTCCTGCACAGTGCTTAAGGCTGCTCAGGTAGCGTAAAAGTTTTGTTAATTGGAGGTCTATGGAGGGGGCACATTGGATCATTGTGCTATGTGTACGCACAACGGTCCAGAACTCCTGCGTGCTGCTGGCATAGAACAGCTTGATATAGCTACAACAATAGTTAGGCCTACACATATGTGATGTTTAGCCAGCTTGACTATATTACACAAAGATAAGGGTTTAATTAGACTTTAACTTTCCCACTTAACATTTGGAGGCATATACCGATTTAGTGGTACAATATGTGGGACATATAAGGAGAATGGCATCATAGGCATTGATACCAAAGTTACATGGCACATATGAAAGTCCATTATGGAGTATTACCTTCTGTGATCAATGATCACGCATTATAAATGTGACTATCGCTAACATTGTAGGTTACCTTGCATTTCATAAATGTATAATGCAATTTAAATTCCACGAGGATTGCTTTTAAAAAATGTATCAGGAGCCATGATGTTCTGATGATTAATCAATAATACCAACTGAACGACTGGAGATAACTGATTAAATACGGATCAAATATTCATGACTAGTTGGTCGTGCATACCTAGCGCTGTAACTTTCTATTAGATTGAATGGCCTAAGATGATACCTATGAGCAGGTCAAGTGTGATGTCTATTATATGCAAGGGGGCAATTTTTAGGACATTTTTCCCTGAAGGCCCGAGAGGCACATTATAATATGGATGGGCACAGTATGTTTTCATATTGATCAACCTTTTTTAGTATTGGACTACACAATAGGTTACTAGTGTCACCTATGTAATGTCAATAAAGGCAAATTTTTGGTATTGTCATGG